AAAAAAATTGTGAACTGAGAATGGTAATTGCTATAGAGGGTTCAGGCAGGGTGTGGGGTTATGCGAAGTGCGAGCAAAAGAAATTGAGAAAGAAGATACAAAAAAGATGCTATGGATTTTGAATCAGATCTCTTTATTTTCCGTGAGAATCTCAAGGTATTAATATTTAAAATTGCCTTAACACTTTTTATTTTTTTTTTTTGAGGTTAAACTTGTTTCTTATATGAGATACCATACCAGCTCTGGACTCATGGAGACTGAGCATTTATTCAGGTAATAACAGGTAATGTTTTATGGATCACTTTTTACTTGCTAGGCATCAAACTAAGCACTATACCTACATTCTTCTTTAATTTTCACACATCCTGTGGGGTTGGAAATATTATTGTACCCATTTAATAGATGAGGAAATCGAGATTCACCGTGTATCTCAAGATTGAGTTCAGCTGAATTGAAAGGAAGGAAGGAAGGAAAAAAAAGTCTTTTGCTACATTCCAAGGGAGAGATGCAGGTACTTTGGGTTGGATAATGTCACATGTTCCCCTCCTGTAAATACAATGAATATACAGTGGGGTTTTTTTGTTTTTGTTTTTGCTTTTTTGTTTTTTTAGTCTTTTTGAGACAGGGTCTCCCTGTAGCCTCCAGTTAGCCTGGAACCCACAGAGATCCTCCTGCCTCTGCCTCCTGAGTGCTGGGGCTAAAGGTGTATACCACCACACCTGGCTTTAATATATAGTGGTTTTGATTGACTGAACTGAAATTTCATAATCTTTTCTACTAGTAGATGCATCATACTTTTTGTTTTAGAAACAATAGATGCACTGTTGGTAAAGAAAAATCCAGTCTAGGATTTTTAACTTTAAAACTTTTCTAGAGACTGAGCATGGAGGTACATGCAGTAATTTCAGTTACTCAGGAGGCTCAGCAGGAAGGTCACATGTTTGAGGCCTGCTTGCACAATTGAGCAATACTTGGTGTCAAATAGCAAGGTTTTTTTTTTTTTGGTCTTATTGAGACAGGGTCTCCCTATAGCTGGAGCTTGCCTGGAACGTGCTGTGTAGACCAGGCTGGCTTTGAACTCACAGAGATCTGTCTGCCTCTGCTTCCTGAGTGCTGAGACTAAAGGTGTGTGCCATAATGCCTAGCTCTCAAATAGCAAGATTTTTAAACTTTTTATTGCATAGTGTGTGTGTGTGTGAGTGTGTGTGTCTATAGATTTGAGGACAACCTGTAGAAGTTGGTTTTCTTTCATCATGCAGGTCCTGGGGCCTGAACTAAGATCATCAGGCTTGGTGGCAAGAACTTTTACCCACCAGCTATCTCTTTGTCTCTTTATCTTATTGCCTTCAGGCTTGAATAGTTTGCAATAAGAATTTTGTCATCTTTATCTTTGTTCTCTATGTATTCTTTTTCTCTGATTGTTTTTAAAATTTACTCTGTATTGTTGGTTTTAAATAATTTGTTAGTGAAATGCCTTGGTATTACTGGGGTTTGGTGGATCAGTGTATTTATAATTATATTCCAGTTTGAATACTTTGTATTGCATCACATAGAGGTTAGAGAACAGAGTGAATTCTTTCCTTCTACCATGTGGATCCCTGGAATTGAGCAAGTGCTTTGATCTAAGACATCTCACTGGCTTCAGCTTCAAAACTTTTAATATTATTCTTTTTTTATGGTCTTTTTGAGACAGGGTCTCCCTGTAGCCCCAGCTGTCCTGGAACTCACTGTGTAGACCAGGCTGGCCTTGAACTCACAAAGATCTGCCTGCCTCTGCCTCCCAAGTGCTGGGACTAAAGGCATGCACCACCATGCCAGGCTATTACTATTTAAAACCCTTTGAAGATTTGTTCAACATTTTGGCAATATTATTCTCATATTGGCCTTGCTTAGTTCACAAAGTCAATTTTGTCATACTTTGCCTAGCTAATATGCAGGATCTTCCTATGCATTATCTACAATTATCCATAATCCAGATGGTAATCGGGTGCCTGGAACCCTCGGAACATCTCGTGACACCATGCCCGGCTAATTTATTATTTTTATTTTATGTGTATGAGTATTATTCCTGCGCGTAGGTAAGTGCACTCATGTTGTGCAATGCCTACGGAGGACAGAAGAGGCCGTTGGAGCCCCTGGAACTGGAGTTACAGACAGTTGTTAGCTGCCATGTGGGTGCTGGGATTCAAACCTGAGTCTTCTGCAAGAACAGTCAGTGTTCTTAACCGCCGAGCCATTTCTCCAGCCCCCCAGCTTGAAAACTTTAAAAAAAAAAATTTTTATTTTTATTTTACATACATGAATATATTGCCTGCATGTGTGTTAGTGCACCTGTGTTGTGCAGTGCCTGTGGAGGTCAGAAGAAGACATCAGATCCCCTGGAACTGGAGTTACATACAGTTGTTAGCCACCATGTGGGTGCTGGGAATTGAACCTGGGTCCTCTGCAAGAGCAGCCTGTGCTCTGTGCTCTTAACCACCGAGACATCTCTCCAGCCCAGCTTGAAAACTTTTAAGTTACTATTTTTAAAACCATTTTTCGATGCCGGACTTGGTGGTGCACACCTTTAATCCCAGCGCTCAAGAGGCAGAGGCAGGCAGATCTCTGTGGGTTCAAGGCCAGCCTGGTCTACATAGTGAGTTCCAGGACAGCTGGAGCTACAGGGAGATCCTGTTTCAAAAAGACCAAAAAAAAAAACCAAAACCGATTTTTCTTCTCATCCTCTTCTTTGGAAGCACCTCTGACATGTATGTTAAGATACTTGAATTTATCCACATTTTACTTATGCATTGTGTAATTTCATTGCAGGCTTTTTTTTTTGTCTTTTTGAGACAGGGTCTCCCTGTAGCCCCAGCTGGCCTGAACTCACTTTGTAGATCAGGGTGGCCTCGAACTCAGAGATCTACCTGCCTCTGCCTCCTGATTGCTGGTATTACAGGCGTGCAACACCACGCCTGGATTCATTGCAGTTTTTATGTGTGTGTGTGTGTGTGTGTGTGTGTGTGTGTGTGTGTGTGTGTGTGCCAGAGATCAGCTTCAGGTGTCCTTACTCAAGATCCATACCGTGTCAAAGTCTCTCACTGGGACCTGGGGCTTATTTATTAGGCTAGGCTGACTGGTCAGTGAACCTCAGTATTCTGTCCACCTGTCTCTACTGGTCCAGCGTTAGGATTACAAGCATGCACCACCACATTCAACTTTTTTACATGGATACTAGGGATTGAACTGAAGTCCTTGTGCAGCAAGCACTTTACTGATTGAGCTGTTTTCTCAGCCTTAGTTATATAGTGTGTGTGTGTGTGTGTGTGTGTGTGTGTGCATTTTTTTTTTTTTTGGTCCTTTTGAGACTTTTCTGTTCCTGTCATGTTGACTTAAAAATATTTATTTTTATTTTCTTCTTATTATTTTTATTATTTTTATGTGTTTGCGTGTATTGCCTGCATGTAGGTGAATGCGCCTGTTTGTCATGCAATGCCCGTGGAGGACAGAAGAGGCTGTCGGATCCTGTGGAACTGGAGTTAAGGACAGTTGTTAGCTGCCATGTGGGTGCTGGGATTTAAACCCAGGTCTTCTGCAAGAACAACCAGTGTTCTTCACCGCTGAGCCATCTCTCCAGCCCCTATTTTTATTATTTTTAATTAGGGGATGTGTGTGTGTGTGTGTGTGTGTGTGTGTGTGTGTGTGTGTGTGTGTTTGTGTGTCCTGCACATGCACACATTTGTGAAGGTACCCATCGAGTTCAGGATCTCCCTATAGCTGGAGTTACAGGTGGTTATGAGCCATCTGACATGGGTGCCTGAATTGAGCTGTAGTCCTCTGGAAGGATTTCTCTTAACCACTGAGTCATCTTATCTAGCTCCCTCTGTGCTCAATTTTTCCTATAGCTTTTTGCATATAAAGAATGTAATTAAGGGATTGGCAAGATGGCTCAGTGGGTAAAGGTACTTCGCTGCCAAGCCTGACAACCTGTGTTCAATCCCTGAGACCCACATGGTGGAAGGAGAGAACCAATTTGTGTAAGTTGTTCTCTGATCCCCATGACACCCACATGTGCACATGTTCAAGTGCACACACACACTCCAAAAAGAATTTTTTTAAAAGAGAATATAGTATAATAACTTACATGTATTTCTTTACTAACTATAATATGTATAACTTCCCATTTATTTATTATTTAGTGAGAGGAATTGAACCTAGGGTGTTTTGTTTTGAGACAGGGTCTCCCTGTAGCCCCAGCTGGCCTAAAACTTACTATGTAGACCAGGCTGGCCTTGAACTCACAGAGATCCACCTGCCTCTGCCTCCTGAGTGCTGGGATTAAAGGCGTGCGCCTGGGGCTGGAGGGATGGCTCAGCGGTTAAGAGCACTGAGTGCTCTTGCAGAGGACCCGGCTTCAATTCCGACAACCCACATGGCAGCTATGGAACCGTCCTTAAATCCAGTTCCAGGGGAATCCAAAGCCCTCTTCTGACTTCCGCAGCATTGCATGACAGGAGTGCACTCACATACATGCAGGCAGTACACTCACACACATAAAAAATGAAAAAAAAACAATTTAAAAATAAAAAAAAAAACAAAGGCATGCACCACCACACCCGGCCTGAACCTAGTGTTTTTGCATGCTAAAGTTCATGTTCTTTCACTGAACCATACCCTCAATACTTCTTACTCATATATAAAAAAAAATATATATATATATATTTTTTTTGTCTTTTTGAGACAGGGTCTCCCTGACCTGGAACTCACTATGTAGACCAGGCTAGCCTCCCAACGCACAAAGATCTGCCTGCCTCTGCCTCCCAAGTACTGGGATTAAAGGCATGCACCACCATGCCTGGCCACGAGTCATTTATTTTTTTTTATTATGAAATAAGTATGTATTTTTAGAAAGTTCCCTCCCTACCCCCCAAAAAGAGCAACAATATCCTGTGAACCTTTTGCCTAGTTAATTTTCAGTGGTACCTTTGTATAACTATAGTTCAATATTAAAACCAGGAAATTGACATTGGTAAAGTCTACAGTGTTTATTCAGAGTTTTCTCCCAGGAAACACATGCACTTTTTTTTTGTGTGTATGTGTTTCTATACAGCTTCATCATTCATTCTTTGAATTTTTGTATTTACAATGAAGGTCTAGAATAGTTCACACAAGGATATTTCATATTGTTTTTAATAACTATATCCACCTCCTTCCGCCCCATGCCCCAACCAATATCCCTGATATTTGGAAACCATTAATATATTTTCTATCTTGTATTATTGTTATTTTGAGAATTTTTATATA